AAAAAAAAAAAAAGGTAAAAATCCGAAATATAAATTTATTTTTGGTTATTTGTTATAGAATATTTTGTTTTAAGGTCTAATAGTGTTTAATTTAAATTTTAGGTTTTCTGCTTATAAATAAGTGTAAGTTAATTTATTTAAAAATTAATATTTAGTATTGAGTTTACACAATAGTCCTAACTGTAATAATTTAAAAAAATATTTGAATAATTGGTCCATTTACTCATATTTCTCATTATAAGTGTATCAATATTATAGAACGTCAGAATGATATTGCAAATAATTATTAACAATTGAAATTATGCAATTAGAAGCGATGACTGATATGACGAAACTAAATTTTCTTGTTACTATTTTGTTTACAATATTATTCAATACAATTTTTTTTTCAATCATTTTGTTTATTTTTGAAGTATTATAATTATAAATGTTATACGAGTCATCTTAACTGAAATATATATCAATTACATAAAAGTTTTAAAAATACTGGTTTAGTGTTACTGTATTCGAGACTAGTTCACAAGAATACGGTTCTTAATTTGGCTATCATTGCTGGGAGCATAGTGCAGTTCAATATACTTTAAATGTCATCCACTAACACCGTCTCTTGCTTAAATAATTTAAATAGGCATCTTCTTTTGGTATCTTATTGCTTTGATGTTTAAATTGGTATAATTTATTCAATCATCTAAAGATTAATTTAATTTAAAAATGTTTAAATGTGCCTTAAAACTACTTATTAAATAAGATCATTAAATATATTAAAATAGACTATGAATAATATAATGATTTTTTTTTTAAATATTATCTTGCGACACACCTATATAAGTATTATTTATACAATGACTAAAAATAATAATCAATAAATTCAACTAACATTTAAGAATATATTTGTACTGCTTAATCTGAAATGTCTTCAGCAGTTTTTCACTTACAAATGTTGTAAAATGCTTACATATTCAAAGTGTATAAATTATAATTGTATATTTTTATAATATATAAAATTATTAATTATTATCGATGTATTTATAACCTAGAGAAATTTACCAATCCAACAATTATTTGCTGTGTTACGTTGTTATCCATATTATTCAACTTTATGATTAAATGTTGAACGTACCTGTTGACTAATAACTTTTAAAAATGAAAAAACTACTCAAAAATTTTTATTTTTACTGCTCAATAATTAATATTCATTTTTCTGTATAAATTTACATTTCTGTGTTCCATACTCGTTAAATTGAAACGTGAGTTATTTTATTATTTTAGTAATATTATAAGATTCAGTTCTACAATTTGGTAACATTTCTGAACCTTTTTTTCATTTAAAATACTTTTGTGTGGGGGAATCTTTTTCAGGGCCAAAAGCTCGCGTGAGTCATGACACGTTAACGATGACGTAACTACTTGGGGATCGATACTGAAGGGGAACCTATCCTTTTCCTGTTTTTCATCAATTACATTATTATCCTACTACTAAATCATTCAGGGTCAAAATAAGTTATTAATACTTTGACGTGTTAGCCTAGTACAATAAGGGTGATTGTAACATCTATTAAAATTAAAAACTAACAGAAATATTCATTCATAAAAAAGGTCATCGTTCGTCTTTAAATTTTTTGTGTGCTTGTAAGCCATTATTATTCCTCTTGGATGATTTGTAAGCAAAAAATAAGTCATAATTGTTTTAAGAATTGTAAATAGTTTTACATTTCATTAATAATATATATATATATATATATATATATATACCATTATGGATAAAAACAATACTTATATTACGTTAACATAATTCACTTTTTTTTTTTTGTATTTAAATTAAACAAATCAATGACATTTTTTTTCACGTTTTCTTATATGAATTGAAAGTTTGAGAAAATATTATTAAATTTATTTAATTAAAATTCCTTACAATTTGTATTTTTTATTTACCCTATACTTATTGTTTTTGTTAAAATCAAACCTGTAAAAAACACTAATTATTCCAAAATTCAAAAATGGATAAAAAAAACATTTCTATCCGAGGTCATAGTTCAGAACATAGATTAATTTTTTGTTCATGTAAGCTACGAAAATCAAAAAAATAAGTAATTATGTGACATGTGTTTTAAATGGCTTTGAATTTCGCTTTTTAAAATTTTTAGCCATTGAAATTATGATGAATAAACTAAATATAAAATATAAATTTAGATCCAGCTGGATTAGAGAGTAATAGAATTTTATATCAAAACTTTCTAATCATCTTCGTTATGTATTATAGTATAATACATATGTATTAAATAGTAAATTTAACAATTATTTAAAAAATTAAAGCATAAATATATTTTTAATTTGTCCAAAATAACACCAATACATATGACCTACATATATGTATAATAAAAAACGCGACCATTAAAAAAAATTGTAAGGTCATTTTCTTTTCACAAAATAGTCAGTCATTACCTATTGTTAACTGGTTCCAATAATCTTGTAGTTGATTATTTTTATTTTTCGTCTAACTACTTTTTTTTATATTTACAGGTATAGCCCATGTAAAGCGTTTAAGGCAATGCTGTGTGAAGTAAATGATTTAGCCGGCCAACACGAAGTTATAGCTGAAAATCTTCAATCTGATGTCATCAGGGAAATTAATTATTTAGTGAAGGATATTAAAGAAGAAAGAAAAAAGGTACTTATACGATACGAAAGCATATCCTGATGATTTTCCATAATCATTTATATGATACAATATATACATATATACGACTATTGTCATTAAAACTACTTTGTATTCGTTTTTATAGTTGCTTCAGGACAGCGCGAAATATGTGGCAATGATCAACAACCAGGTTGCGTCCCTGGAACGGTCGCGGAAAAACTACGAAAAAGCTTTTAAAGAAGCCGAAAGAGCTTTGGACAATTTTCAGCGAGCTGACGCAGACTTGAACTTGTCCCGAGCTGAAGTGGAAAAGCAACGGATGAACATGGCTATCAAGAATCAGCACTGCGAGGAGTCAAAGACCGATTACGCCAACCAGTTACAGAAAACCAACGAGCTTCAGGTACAGCGTATTACCTTGTGATTCTAGAATTCTCATTATAAACGTCCCTTCTGTTACAGAGCCAACATTATAAGGCGCTGATGCCGGAAGTTTTCAGGCAGCTACAGGAACTCGACGAGAAACGAATTCGCAACGTTCGTCATTTCATGGCCCATTCAGCGGATGTCGAACGCAACGTTTTCCCCATCATAAACAAGTGTTTGGACGGAATAATTAACGCTGCCAATCAAATCAACGAAAAACAAGTATATTATTTATTTTAAAACTCTAAAATTGCTCCTATTTCATAAAAACAACCATTGATAATAAATTATTTTAATATTATTAATAATGAAAAAATAATGATTCTAAGATACTCGTTCCAAGTACAGTAAAATACCGTTGTTATTGTTCGGCCTAATCCGTACGTCAAGTGGCCTGTATTTCGAAGAACTCATGTATTTTTTAACTATATATTTTTATATATATACGAACACCCTAACTAGGATTCTTCACGTGCTTAAAAATTAGGTGTTATACTTATTATTCAAACAACTCTTGAAACAATACTTGAAACTATTGTTTGTTATGTATTTTTTTTCCTCGTATGACATTTTATTTTATTTTGATGTTTAGGATACTATATTGGTGATAGAAAGGTACAAGTCTGGTTTCGAACCACCTGGAGATTTTCCGTTTGACGATTTAAGCCGTGGTGGTGAGTCCATGCCACTTATTATGCCTGGGGGTAACACTTTCGTATCTTCAGGTATAGGTGCCCATAGGGCCGAATCAATGACTGTAAAAGGAACCATGTCAGCTGGCAAGCTGAAAAAACGAGTTGGCCTATTTGCCATATTTAGCTCCAACAAGGTATGTATTATTAAAATGTCATTATAAAATATATATCATTTACATTGATTTGACTATGGTCGTAATTTAAACTTTTTTTTTTTCAATTATGTTTCGAAAAAATATTTTAACGAAATATAAATGCTCTTCTTGAATAATCAAATTCTTGATACAACCCCAATGCTTCTTTCTGTAAGTACATATAATATGTGGGAAAAAAATTAATAATATGTCAGTCAAACATCAGTTTTGTAACATAATGCCCCAGAAATACTAACTTATTCAATATCTTTAACCTGTTGAATGAATGATTTTACTTTAGCAATAATTTTAAAACAAAATATATAATTATACAAATTTTGAGTGTGTATTTTTAGAACACAGTTAACTTTACATTATGTTGTGGGCTTAAATCAACACTACGTCTTTTTTTTGCACTTTTGTTTTGGCGCTAGCAATTGTAAAGCCAATTTTTATTTTTTAAATTTTATTTAAATAAAAATGGTGTAATTTTTAACATTAAATATAAATTAAAAATAATATTTTATGATGTAAATATATTTTATTTGAAATAATATTAAATTTAAGATGTTAGAATATTTATATACATTTACCATAGTTATGTATTAAGTAATCTACTAGATTATACTTAAATATCTTAGACTATCTGATTAATATTTAACTCATAATACCATAATAATAATTTTTTTTAAATCAATCTATTCAAGAATTTTAGAGTTTATACAAATAATGTTATGTAATATATTAAAATTCATATTATTTTTGTTACTATAATTTTTACTAACTGCATGGCTAATCACGCTTGCTTTATATGTTTTACATGCACTCGGAAGCTAATGGACGTATGCAGTTCTGTCAAGGTATAAAAAAAGTTTTAAATGTGTATTCTTGACACTTTATTGAATCATAAAGACGTGATTATTATAAACTTAATAAATATAAGACACGTTTATTTTTATGATAAATAAATAAACAATTATTATAACTACATAACTTATTCCTACAAATGCTTAAATTGTTAACGTTTATTTATACAGAAATTATGGAATATTAATTATTTTTTGTTTTTAATTATTATTATTATATTTCTCACGTGCTTTAACAATGATTTTTAATGTCTTTACATAACTAACAAACAATATTAATTACTTATAATATATAATTTTTATTTAATATCAAATTGCTAATTTTTAACCACTAAAAACAAAAAAAAAGATGTGTCAAAATGTATGAATTGTTCATCTATAAACAAATTTTATTAAACTATTTTGACAACTGAAATAATTTTAAATACATATATTTCGTTTGTATTTATTTATATATTTTAAACCTTGGATGAAGTAATCGTACATTTATTATGTTTGTTTTAATCATTTCTTTGTTTGTTTTTATAATAGTAATCTATCTAATAGCACAATTAATATTATTTAGTTAAATTAAATCCCTTATTTCTATTCATTTATGTATTTATTAATGTTGTTTTTTACAGAATAATCTTTCATCGTCGGGTGATAAGGATGACTATAGTGAATTACCACCAAATCAACGACGAAAAAAAATTCTCCAAAAACTAGATGAAATACAGGCAAAATTACACCAAGAAGTAGCAGCCAAGTAAATATTATTGAAAAAAAAAACATATACTTATGTAAACTGTATGTGTCATCTAAACTTATGTGTAATGTTTATACTATTTATTTAGAGATGGCTTAATGAAAATGAAAGGAGTGTATGAGTCAAACCCAGCACTAGGTGACCCAATGTCTACAGAAGGTCAACTAAATGAATGTTCACAGCGCATTGATAAATTAAATTCTGATATGACTAGGTACCAAGGACTATTACAAGAAGTTGAATGCAATGGTAGTCCTGCAGGATCACGCAAATACGAATCGAATACCGAACATAATGGTATCGGTAATGGTAGTACTAACAATATATCCAGTCATAAGTGAGAAAAATATACTATAAGTGATTTATGTAAATTATAACTATGTATTGTAATTAAGTAGGTTGAATATGTCCATACCAGATGGAAGAGCTCCTCTCGGTGAAGATGAATCTTTAAGTCGTTCAGCGTCTGATTCCAGTGTTTCCATACCTGCTGTTGGATTAAATAAGTAAGGTTCAAGTTCATAACAATTTTCATTGATATATTAAGCCCAATATTACTTGCAGTCGATACCCTGGTGAAACTGTCAGTTTAGGTGCCTCACGTAATTCTTTAGCTAATGATGAAGACACACCTTATTACGATATTCATGACTTGCCACCACTTGGTACATGTACTGCTCTCTATGCATTTGAAGGTATTAATAACTTAATTTAATTTATTTGTATAAATGATAAATTATTTGGTGTAATAGTATAATTTATTAATATTTTGTTTTAGCTACAAGTGAAGGTTCAATACCAATGTTTGATGGAGAGCAATTACTCATCATTGAACAAGATCAAGGAGATGGTTGGACACGTGTTAGAAGACAGCCTCCCAATGCTGAGGAAGGTTTTGTACCCACATCATACATTTCCATACATTCTAGCTGAACAGATCCTTAAGTTAGAAATGTTTACTTTGACACCGTTTGATATTCAAATCATTTGTGTACATAGAAAACTAAAATCCCCTCCATAATTAATTGTAGATAAATTACGATATATTTTCTATATAAGGTTGTGAAAAGTGCCAATTTATAATAAAAATGATGTAATCGTTCTGAGCTCAAGTTGTCATGTAGGATTTTATGTTAGGTTTTTTTTTTTTTTATTATTCCCAGATAATCAAATTTCTTTAACTAATGTGCAATTTCAAATGGACCAGTGGCAAGTTATACAACTTGCTTAACTTTTTATTTTTCTACTTTTGCCGCTGTGTTTTATTATTGTTTTCCCTATCTTATAACCTGTTTAAAACTAATGGGAAAATAATAAGTTTTATTGTTTTAAACTTAAAAAAGTTTCCGTCCACCTTTATTTTTACTATCTAAGTTTTTTAGTTTTTTTTTTTTTTTTTAAACACTGTTTTTATTTATTAGTTTTTCTATTAAATTGTCTCAATTTAGCTTGAAATAATACCATAAATAACAATTTGTCAATTAATGATTCATTTGTATATTTTTAGAACAGATGTCTAATAAGTAATATTGTAACTTGATGAAAAAACAGGTTGTGTTAGTGTAAACGCATTATAAATACCCAGACAAGTATTTATTATATATTTACATATATATATTTTAACGTTTGAAGATTAATTATATAGTAAAAATATATATTTTTTTTAACATAGGATATACTAAAATCAAGAATAAATACTCATTAATTTATTATTAAAAGAGATTTGCTTAAAATAAAATAGCAATTATTTACGAAACATTAACGAACAAAGTTAACAGACTATACATTTAGTAACTATGTATTTTTTTCTTTTTTTGTTATTATATTATTTGTTTAATCCTAGTAATTATAATCTGCATTTTTTTTTTTTTTTTTTTGTACCAAAATGATAAAAAGTAAATATGAGTGACATCCACAATATTCCACCCTTTACTCCTATTGATCAACTGATATGTATATATATTAAATCACCCAAAAGCATATCATTGTTTAATGTTTCAATACCATACAAGATATTCATTATTAAACTTTATAATACTAACCATGTGTAAAAAAATAATTCAATTTTAAGGTTATTATTTGTTATTTATTAAATTGCTTATAAATTTAAATTGTTATGTTATATTTTTTTTTAATACTTAATGTCTGCTACTTCAGTATCATTCTAAATAGACATAAAGTTGTATAAAGATAAACATTCTACCTTTTAATGCTGATTTAATTAATGTATTATTTATTTATACATTAATGTTTTCCCTAAAATAATTAATATTATTAAATGGAAAATAAATAAATATATGAAAATTGTCTATACTTTTTGTTTTGGTAAATATTATATACAACAATTTATCAAGTGCGTAGCCAGGGCGGTGTTACAGGTGTAGTAACATCCCCCTTTAACCGTGTTATAATTAAGTCTTATAAAGGTAAAAATTCATCATAAACCGTAATAAAAACATTTTTATCATAACGAAATATATACATACCAATAATGTAAAGATGGGATCAGACTTCTCATTACACCATTTTGTCTAATAAACCGAAGCCATAGTTTTGTGTCGTTTCATACACGATATAAAATAGGTACATACGACAAAAATGTACATTTAAAATGTTAATAATATATTTATTTAAATACTTTCTCATAGAGTAGTACATTACACATGAATATATATTCTAATATAGATGAAATATAGAATATAGAATATATATATACTAATTTGTTTGTATGCTTGTATAATAAAGTATACATAAAGTAATTATTTTGTTGTGTATAATTTTGAATAACACTCCCCTTTTAAAATACCTAGCTTCGTGCCTGCAATTTATAATATAAAATCACTAATGAATAAGAGCCATCATCTCATTTGCTTAGCCTTAAAATTTATAGTTGGCATATTTTATTTTGGTGTGCCAATGAACCAGAGATTAAAACTTTGTTTTTTTTTTTATGTGAAAAATTTTTCATAAAATTGTATTCATCATAGGTATTTTTAACGATAAAAGAAACAAACATGATGGAATAGATTTTTTTTGTAATGTTTTTGAATTCTTATTATTTTGATATTAAAAATATTTTATGTTTATTAAAATATACATCTATTAAAAATTAAAAACATACTCTAAAATAACGATAAAATTGATTTTGAAATCGTGTTCATTTTACATATTGGCTTGTACCTCAGTCTGTAATCAGCATTTTCGTATTTTTGATGTATATTCTTCAATACTGGGAACCATTACTGTTTTGCGATACAACAGTAGATTGTATTTGTTTATATATATATATTTTAATATAGAGTTAGTCATAAAAACCATTTTCCAAGTTAAATTTTCATATGTAAGTTCAATATTTTTTTTTTTTTAAATTAGCAATAAAAACTTTTAAATTTAAATTTCATGAATAAATATTAGCACTACAATATTATGAATTTTATGCTATATTAAATTACCTACACAATATTATTATAAAACTAGAACAATACAAATGTTTAACTTACTATGTTCTAGTTACGGCCCTGAATGCAATAAACTCATATTATGGTCGTCTATTATATTAACGTCTTAAGACATTCGTTTGGTTTTAGAAATCACGTAACGAACATCAAAAGAGAACTAGTATTGTCACACGCTTCACAAACGACATTTTTTGTTATTTTCTCAATTCCAGTGCTCGAATTGAGGGTGTGCGCAGGGGGACGGAGCTCCTCTACTATTTTTTTTTTTTTTTGCGTATCCCAATTATATTTTTTTACTGGAACGGCGAGACGCCATCCTAACTAATGTCCAAAATAATTTTTATTAAAATGTGGATTTCAATTTACGTCAATTTCATAACGAATGTATGGTAAATATAATTATATTTATGCTTAGTACCTATACAGGTACATGAGAACTTATTACATGAGTACTTTCATAATTAAAGATCACATGGTGGTGATATGTACCTATATGATAAGCGAAAGCGTCGTCATTTCAGGAAAAATAATAATAGTAATGTCTGGTACTTATATACAGTTATAATTTGGTATTTACTTTATTCATTGTATTGTTTGTTATTAATATTATCGATATTAATATTTAGAATTAAAATATTTAAGATTGATGGAGAGAGGTGCGAGGGAGAAGCCCCCCAGGAGTCCGTGTTCGATAATTGCGCACGTGTAACGCAGTTTTTAAATCGTTGGACTAAGCTCCTCTACTTAATTTTTCTCACTTCAACCATTGATCATTTCTAAATTGTTGTCAAGCGACACAACGTTTTGGTACAAATTATAAGTACGACGATTCCGCTGCTGCCAATGACTGATATGTGAAATGCTATCAAAACTTCAAAATATTTTTTATTTTATATAAATATTTATAATTTGACAAAACATGAGCTATTTATTGTATTAAAATATATATTGTTCTTTGTCATTCTATCAGCGATTACGTCTTTTACTCGTAGGTATCTGCTATAATGCTATATGATTTTAAACGCAATCATAACCATAATATAATTATATTCGTTAACAGACGAGATGATAAACAGAAATGCTTCGGAATTGAAAACGATTTTGAAACAACTGCTGGAATTCAAAAAAATTCTATAAGACACAGCAAACCAGCTGATGAGTAACTGCGGAGTTTTACAATACGTTTGGCTCAGGTATTCTGTTCTTATATTAATATAATTTTACCAGTTACCGTGATCGTCTGAATCTCTAATCGCACCAACTATACATATCTATAATCAGACTTGTGCATGTTCACGTTCTTGACTTAATAGTGTTATTTTTCGGCTTGTCGTGTTTGTTCTCGAAAATGTTTTTTCATCTGGAATGGTTAGTACAACGTGACTAAGTGTATGTCGACCTCAAGTAACCGTCGCCGCATACCTACATTACACAATGTGCAAGGGCGGATCCAGAAATGTATTACGGAGGGGGGCACAGTAACACACACACTAGTCTTTATACAATAAATATAAAATTATATTATTTTATATTTCGCAATTTTATAATACTTTAGTTAGTAGATTTAATGAACATTGAAAATTAATCGAAAACCCAATGTATTATATTATACGTAACACAAACCTTTTTTGGGAGGAGCGTGTGACCCCTTCGCCTGCCCCCCCTGAATCCGCGTCTGACAATGTGTACACCGTTTACATGGGATTTACCCGTTTCCGTCATTATCCTTTTCCTCCAAAAACGAAAAAGGTACGATTCCCGTTTCCGCCAAAAAAAAGTTCGGAAACCATTGATTTTAATTTTTAAGCAATATTGAATATATATTGTAGTAAGTATTAAAGACAATGGCATTTGTAATGTATACATCGATAATCTTTGATTACGGAATGAAGCATACACTGTATCATAATTTATTTATAATTCGCCATAATAATTATCTGACAAATGTTAAATTCTTATATTTCGATTCAGTATCTGTTCTGTTATTCACCAAACTAACAACACTTAATATCGTTCTTAAAATGGAATTTGTTGTAAGCAAAAGAGATAAAACGATGTTACTTTTTAATGGTTTTAAATGTATGTTTAGTTATACGTCACAAACAAATGTAACTCGGTAAAGATGTTTCATGAAAAATTACCGGGCCAATATTTTTGAAAAAGAAAAAAGTAATACTTGAAACGAAAGGTACGTTTTCTATCTACGAGTAAAATAAATATATTTATTAAATTATTTATTTATTTACGAAAAATTAAATTAATTAATTTTTTTATTATAGGTAATCATGGAGACAATTGTTCAATCAAAAATATAGATCGTCAAAAATTAGCAACGACATGTAAGCGGAATTATCTACTTGTATTAAAATTTATAATGATAAGAATATGTAACAATTGTTCATGGTTCCCAAATACTAATTGGCGGAAACGTCTTTTCACACAAATAAATTTTGGCGGAAATGGGCTATGCGTAAATCAGGGAACCAGATTTTTGGTGGAAACGGGACATACCCGTACACATTGAATACCAGAGGCGGGCAACTGGTAAAAATTACATCTACAATTTTAAAGTTTATCGTCTTTATTCTAACTTATCTATATAATAATTGTTATCCAGTATTAAATATTTTTAAGTATCTAAATGTCAT